TATTATTATTATTATTATTATTATTATTAGTAGTAGTAGTAGTAGCAGTAGTAGTAGTAGTAGTAGTAGTAGTAGTGGTAGTATTAGTAGTAGTGGTGGTGGTGGTAGTAGTGATAGAAGTAGTAATATTAGTAGTAATAGTTTAAGCAAATTCAGAATTTGACCTGAATGTGCAAATTGACTGATCTATGTCCAACTCTAACCTAAAAGTCAAACCTTCTTCTACAGGTTGATTTTGACAGCTCTAAGCATTMTGGCATCACATTTCCATCATGCTAACATTCCACCACAGCTTATTTTACCACAAATTGAGAATGATAATTTTGCCTAGTTATTTAAACCAACATTTTTGACCTCCATCATTCATGGCAGATTTTACAAACTTGCAGTGTGAAAAGTGGATTTCAAGTCCATCTGTGATCTGGAGTTGTCCTCCCTCTGCCCTTCTTTTATAAACTCTCCCCATTATCTCCCTCGGGAGTGGTGCCAGTCTTCTACTGATCACAGAAGATCAGAGACTTTGTCAGAGGCATCCAATGCTTAATTAAGACTKCAGATCAATAAGGTTTGCCCCTTGACAATCTCCCTCCCCCTCTTTCTTTATCTCAGTCTCTGTCTTTTATTCAGTCCTGCATTGTGCCTTTTTTTTCCCCTCAAAATCTAAAATCAGATGGTTTCAAATTGGTTGTATTTTCATTGCTTGGCATATATAATTTCCCCCTCTGGATTCCAAAGCACATTTTTGACAATTCTTGCTCTGATCYTAAGCTACAACTGAAGGGAGTCAGACAGAAAATGTGTTTTTTTTTCCTTCATACCATTGAAGCTTCAAGGGCACCCAGCAGTCATCTTTTCCTGCAGAGAAGGAATCAAATAAGCCAAGTGGAAAAGTTTTAGGGATGTGGGCGGAGTGGCTGCTAATGCAGAAKGCTATCACAGCAGAAGCTCAGCAGAGTCTCAGATCTCTGACATGTCTCGTCTCTCTACAAGAAAATGTCAGATATTTTATTTGTGTGTCTTCGGGCTGTCTCTGAGTTATGCCCTTATTAACCTGTGCTTGCTCTCTGACAGCTCTTCCTCTTTTAAACTGACACTCTTCTGCTATTTACATTTTGGACAGAGCGAGAGCTGAATTTTATTTCATTTTTATACCTGCTAAACAACACTGCCTCATGCAGGAGAAATGCAGCACTGTGGTCTTTAGAGGAGACATACTGTATATTTTTTGGTCTGAATTCCTCCTTATTGTAACTCCACAAGCCCCTCGGTCACCTCTTTTCTGAGATGTGTCTCAGATCAACTCATTTAGAGGCTGTCATTTTAAATCCAAACAAGGCGCTTCACACCCCCTGGTAACCTTGATCCTGATACTCTGCCACCACAAAAAAATAAATAAAATAAAAAATAAAATTAAAAAAAAACATCACAATCTAGCTACAGAGGGTGTTGATTATGTTSAAATACCATCCTGATCTAGCATGCTCAGTTTATACTAATGGGAGTCCATTTCATTCTTAATATATGAACTATGTTATTTTATTGTGGAAAAATTATGTCAAATGTCTGTCATTTTTATACAACAAGTGCAAAACTTGAAGAGGCATTTCAGTTACTGTAACAGGTGGGCTGGAGCAGGAAAACAAATAAAACATGCAGGATGTTGGCCCTCAAGGACCAGGATTGGACACCCCCAGCATTTAAATTACCATTTGTTTTACAACTAAAAGAAACAAAAAATGCCTAGGGGCATGGAAACGTTCAGAAAYTGCTGTATCTAATCAATGGGCTCCATTGGTTAATTGAAATGCTGTTTATTGGATGTATCGGCTGCGTTTTCATTTAGTTAATTAGGAAAATTTATAAAACAATACATCCAAATCATGACGTTTTCCTTTGACATAACATGTTAGATGGTTAATTTCTGCAAGCCAGACAGGGAGGAGCTGTCCCTGCTTTGTCTTCTTCTGTGTATCGTTTCAGATGGACTCAAACATATTGCCTGGAGTGAAAAATGTGACAGTTGTGTTAAGAGGACAGATGTTGAGAACATGTCCACAAGGTCATGAAACACACAGCCGCTAGGGCTTGACTGACAGCTTGACGTGTAATGTATCTAAAKCTGCTAAGTAACTGAATCGTGAAGGTTAGATGTGTGCGGTTTGAGACATGTTAGGCCACAATTGCAATACATAAACACAGCTCTGGAAACATACAAATCTATAGCGTTTGTACCACCTCAGTGGTCTTCCTCAGAGAGGTTTTATCAACAAAAGTTTGAGGACTTTATCTTTTAAAAGACTGACTCTGCTTCCTGAAATAAACCAGGACTCAGGGGTAAGCGAAATGGAAAGGTTTAAGGCTCAAAACCTAAGACTTACCTATAATTGTGAYCTACTAGAGATGGCATTAAATCAATATAGTAGAAATGTAAGCATGTTTCTGCTCGACCATGATGGTTACTATTTCTATGTTCCGTATATTTTTATGTATGGAATATATATATGATTATTATTATTATTTTTATTTTTTATTAAATCTTAATTTTACCAGGAAAATTCCATTGAGAAAGGGTATCRTGGCCAAGACCGGCAGCAGAGGTCACAGAACATTCACAGCAAAAGTTTACACCGTCATACATTAAGTAAAAGTTTAAAAGAAAATTTAGCACAGATGCAATGTCCTATCAGTGGCTCATTTGAAGGCTTTTATGAGGCTCCCTTATTGATCCGAGAGTTGAGGTGCAGGCAGATTGTTGGATTTTTGGTGAAACACCAGGAAGYGGTGTTCTTTTAAGAGTGTTGGTACAACTTAAGAAAATATAGGGAATATACAGTAATTTTTTGTGTAATCTAAATTAAAATAAACTCAGCTTTTCTTTTTTTTAAGTGAATAAATTTATTGATATACAGTATGTGATGCTGTGAATTCCTTAACCTTTGTCCAACTGGCTTGGGAGAAGTGTTTACACCTCTTAGAAAAATGTGACTGTTGAAAATGGTGTTACCRGAATTTCACTGTGTTTTCCTGTGCTTAAATGTCTCATTTGATCTCAACCATTTGGGTTGAAAAATGTGTATTTGTGCTGTCATGATTCTCAATAAATAAGGGATGAATAGGAGGATAAACTGTACCATTATCAGAATGAAATTTTACTGGCTTTGCTCAGTAAAAGGGCATTTTGTTTTTACAGCAAACACTTTTAACTTATAACAATAATCACATTACTTTTGATGTGCTGACCTCTGGAAAAAGAAAACCCTTTSTAGATGGTAATGGCAGAAAATTAGAGTTGGCTGATGTAAAGAGGGTCTTCTTTCCTAGTGGTAATGGCTTTCATTTAATAAACCATTATTTTCTACATTAAGCTGTCAACAGTTTAAGTTTTCCAGATCTGATGTAAAAAATATTTTTCAATGTATAATCATAAGAAATGATAGAAACAGCATCTCTTTTCTGGGTTATTGAGTGCTCTTTACAGTGGTTTATGGAAATGACCAAAATAGTCTGTAAGTCTCTACGTGTCAGTGTTTAATGCCCTTCTTCATACTTAACATGTCTCAGTGAGACWTTTTTTACAGAAAAGTAAGACATTGCCATCAAGGCTACCAACTAAATGTTCGGATCAATTGTACTGATGAGGAATCTTCACCTGGAACATAGTGTAACACTGTTTAAAAAATGGCACAAATCCCCCCTGATGTGGATAAAGACATTGGTTTCTTAAAGTGATTACCTGCTGCAYTCAATGTATGGGTCTGAAAGCCATGACAGCAAGGATCAACTAATGATCTCTCCTACAGACAAATCAATAGGCCAAAGTATCAGGAAAGGAAAGAGGGGCAAAAGAACAGTGAAGAAAAAGAAAA